CCCGTTGCTGGTACGATGTTTCTAGCACCTTGACTCGGCTCCTGCCAACAGCACCCCCAATCGCGGGCCTCAGGAGGTGCCGGCGGCCAGCCGAAGGGCCTCTCAGAGCACGGGAGCTGGGGCCGGCCGTGAGCCACCGGAAGTCCGGGCCGGAGGAGCAGGGGGTACCTGTGGGCGCTGTCGATGAGCTCCAGGTCTGCCTGGTGCCTCTGCTGCAAACTTTCCAGCAGCAGCTGGTGCTGTGTCCGCTCCAGCTCGAGTTTCCGCACCTGGGAGACGGCGGGAGGCACTGGGTGTGTGTGTGGGCGGCGGGGCAGGGTCCCTCAGACCGCCTGGGGAAGCCGACCGGCCCTCACGTGGCCCGCTCCCACTTCAGCCCTGCCCCCGGAGCCGGCTGCCCCTCTGCCCCGCACCTGGGCCTCGAGCTCCGCCAGCCGGGCCTGACTCTGCAAGAGGTCGGCCTGGAGCTCGGCCGTGCCCCTCTGAAGCTGAGCCTGTGCCGCCAGGAGCTGCTGCTGGTATTCGGAGCCGGGCAGCAGGCTCCAGGCCAGGGACTCTGGGAGCAGGGGCTGTAGGAGAAGGGGAGGGATGCTCCCTGTTAGGCAGGGGACAGGGGCTCAGCTGAGCTCACCTGCCTCTGGCCCTCACTCGCTGGACCTCCCAGGCCCTGGGTCTGATCTGTGGCTGTAGACGGGGACAAGGTCGTGACACCGAGAGGCCAAGGATGAGGCCCGGGAGAGTCAAATGGTCACTGTCCCTCCCCTCGCAGGTCTCGTTGGGGAAGATGAGTCTCCCTTCCGCCCTCAGAACAACATCCTCCCAGAAAGGGTTCCAGATCCCTGGATAAACAGCCGAGTCCCAGCAGAGCCTTAGCTACAACAAAAGGTTATGACCCTGGCCCTTTCTGTCAGGCCTGAAGTCCCAATGTAGACAGCTGTTCTGGTTCCTGCAGGCTGCCCACCACCCACCATCTCAAAGGCACTTCCGGGTTACCCGGGAGGTGCCCCCGTGGGGCTAGGCCTCCTCAGGCCCGGGGGTCACCAGCGCCACTGCACCTGGGAAACAGAGGCGGTGCAGTGGGAGGATGGCAAGGATGGAGGAGGCTTTCTAGACAGAGCATCAGGACACCTGCGGCCCTGCTTTCTGATTAGAGCATTCCCAGCTGCCCCGACCTGGGTGCCACCTCACTTCCTTACTGATGCTGGCAAATTCGCACCCAAACCTGCCCGGGAGTGGCACGGAAAGTGCTGGTGGGGAGCGCCATGGGAGCTAGCTGATAGCACGATGCATGCCTCCCAGCAGTTTGTCAGGTTTGGCAGGTGTTGCCTCTGAGCACATGAGAATTGTTCCATGGGCCTGAAACCTACACCTGTTGGTTCACCCTCCCTACCTGGACAGGCACAGAGAGCCCTGGGGGTTCCTGGGAGCTTGGGAAACCAATTGCAGGCTCTGAAAAATCAACAGCAGAGAAATGAGCAGGGGGTGCAGGGAGGCCCCGCGGGCTGAGTGTGTGCTCGGGAGAGCCCAGCCTCACTCGTCTGCCGGGGCCCCCGAAGGAAGCTCTGTGTCTCTCCTCTACCCAGAGTTACACCCCTTGAACAAAGCAGAACACAAACCAGTGCCAGAGCAATCTCCAGGGGCTGTTCCCCTCTTTGGGTCACCCGCATGGAGGGCCAAGGCAGCAGGATTCCAAGTCACGGGGGACCTGAGGACACAGGAATGGGGGTGGCAAGCGAAAGAGCCTTCTGTGTAGGACGCCGGGAGCAGGGGAGGGTTGGCCCAGCAGGAAAGGAAAATGCCAGGTTCAAGTCATTGACTGCAAAGGCCTGGAGGCTGGCAGTTTACTAAGAGTGAGGTCTCAGCTGGGAAAAGGGCACAGGGACCCCGCTTCGGGCCCCTTACTCTGTGGGCCTGCTGCGTGGTCTGGGATACCACACGCCACCCTGACCACGTGGAGCCCAGCACAGCCGTCCGCCGCTCTAGGGAAGGGGGCCTGGGCCACCCCGCCGCACCTCCCCTACCCGCAGCCCCGCCATGAATGTACCCTGAGGTGGCAGGCTGGGCAGGTGGCCTCTGTGCTGCCGTGCCTGGGGTCCCCCTGGCGGCTGCTGGCTGGAGCCCTTGGGTGCCGGCAGCAGGCTGGCTGAGGAGGTAAATGTTCAAGTGAAAGAGGCAGAAGGTCCGGGTTAGGCTGGACCAAGACGGGCTGGGACAAAGCCCACGAATGAAGTTGTGTGGCCGCCCCTCTTCCCGCCTCCCCTCAGCCTTCCTCCTGTTCCTACCGTCCCGTCTTGGTAATTCTCCTCCCAAGTCTGAGCGCCTGGCCTTCCGTAGCCCATCCTGGCCTCAGTGCTCACTGGGACCACCTGATGATGTCCCAGGAGCGACCATGGGCCTGTTACGGGCAGCAAGGCCGAGCGCCGGTCCACGCGCTCGCTCAGCTTCGGCGGAGGGCCTGCTCACCCACCCTCCCGCCGGCCCCAGCACCCTTTGGGCTCCTCGCTTCTGCTGTCTGTTGCTCCCCCTTGCTTCTCGGCTCTCCGGGTCACCTCGGTTTCAGGTCCAGGTCCAAACTGCCCTCCTCATTCACCCCAACCCCAGGGCTGGGTGACATCCCTGGCCTGTCACACAAGCGCCCCCCCTTCGCTCCAGCCGCAGAGCATCCTGCTGCTTCCTTTGGACAGTCCCAGCCTCGCCAGCCCCCTCGGGGCCGCTCATATTCTGCGGCCTCCCCTAGGAGCCGCCTCACAGCCACGGTCTTCTCGAACACTCCCCAAGAGCACGAGTGGGTCCCAACCCGCGCACGCGTTGCCTGCTTTAGCTTGGTTAGCAGGGCAATTGGACACTGGGTGTCCCGCCAGCCCGAGGGTGCTGTGGACAGAGCCCCTGCTCAGAGGCACCGGGATGGCTGTGTGTTTGCCATAAGGGTGCCCTCGTTCTCCTACCCCATCAGGTCAGCACCTGTCCCCACAGCAGTCAGGGAGTGAGCGTCAGCAGCCCCCCAGCTCCCTCGTGTTTTCATCTGATCAAAGGCAGGGAGCTAGACACTCTCCCCAGCACCTAAAGGGGAGAAGCACGGCCTAGAGGCAGTGCTCTGCTCTGAGGCACGCTGTGGGCACTCCCGACTGAGGCACCGAGACAGCAAGGTCCTCCTTCCACTAGAGACAGCAGCCCTGGGACTTCGTTGGTGGCACAGTGGCTAAGACTCCGCGCTCCCAGTGCAGGGGGGACTGGGTTTGATTCCTGGTCAGAGAACCAGATCTGACTTGCCGCAACTAAGAGTTCGCGTGCTGCAACTAAGAAAGATCCCGCACGCCTCAACGAAGATCCCGCACGTGGCAGCAAAGATCCCGCGTGCTGCAGCTAATACCCAGCACAGCCAAATAAATAAATATTAAAAAAAAGAAAATTTAAGGGACAGCAGCCCAAGCCCCTACCTGTCGGAAGGCAGCGCCCCTACCGAGTGCTGGCCCTTACAGGCTGCGTCGTGCTCCTCTCCGGCCAGACCTTGGGACTTTTTCCGAGACAGGGCATGGCTCAGCCAGTCCTCCTCCTTCTTCCCAGACGCTCCTGGCTGGGAAGGCTGGCTGCCTTTGGCAGGAGAACTGGTACCCTCGGCTGGTGGCTGTGCCCCCAAGGAGGGCAGCCCGGCCGGGGCAGAGTGGTGGCTGGGAGCAGGATGCTGGCTGGCGGGAGGGGGGCCCCTCCGAGCCTCCCTGGTCGGGGAGGAAGGGAGCAGGTCCAAGCCTTCGTCCTTGAGGCCCAGCCAGTCAGCACCTCCCCTCCTGGGCTGGGTAGGGCTGGATGCTGCTGGGGTGCTCTGTCTGGAGCCTGGTTCTCCCTTGGGGTCTGTGCCACCTTCAAAGAACCTACTTCAAGACAGAGAAGTGGGGGGGGTCTAAGGCAGGGCAAGCAGCCTGTCCCAAGAGCCCCCGGACAGGCCTTTCCCTCCACTGCTGGGGGTGACTATGGGGCCCATGCTAAGAAGTCGTGATGACCGGGGCCCTGCACAGCCAGAGCCGCGGCAAGCTGAGTGATGTCCGTAGAACACCATGAACACCCATGAAAGACATCTTGGATTCCGCCCATTTTCCCAGCGGGCAACCTGCCTCCGAGGCCAAGCTCCTTGCAGGCCCCGCTTACCTGACGGACTGCCGGCGGGACTGCCGGCCCTCGGAGCCCACGGTGGGCTGATAGGCCCCAAAGGTGAAGTCCTCGTCACCCCCGGTGTCTTCTTTGTCTGTGAATGAAGGAACCTGTGATCTAGAGCAAGAAGGAACCTGTGATCTAGAGCAAGAAGGAACCTGTGATCTAGAGCAGGGGGGACCCAAACTCTTCTTCTGTAGCTGCAGAATTCTTTGTTTAAGAAAAGCTGAACTGGCAGCCTGATGGGTAAGATGAGTGATAGGGAAGCTCCTGTGGAGAAAGCAGGGTGAGGGGCTGGGCGTCTGTCAACACCCAGGCTCCAGCCTACAAAACATCACCCAGGAGCTGTTAAAAGTGTACCAGCGGGCCCTGCCGCAGACCCCCTGCAGGTGAGGCCTGGTGAGCTGTGCGTGTCACGAGGGTGATTCTCAACAGATGGCCCGTGGGCCGATGCTCTGAATGGAGGAACACTGGTCCAGGGCAGTGTTTTTCAAACTGTGAGCTGCTGCCTATTAGCAGGTGGAAATACTAATTTAATGAGTCGCAACCAATGTATTTATTAGTCAAAGAGCACATAAATAAGTATTGAATGTGGTGATTATTATTTCCTGACATTTTCCATCTCAGTAATAAACATGAATAATTAAATGTGTGTCGCGATGTAAAGCTTGTTTCTTATTCTGGCTTGTGGTACAATGTGCTCTGAGGGTCCACGCCCCACCGCCCCTGCCCCACACGCTCCTCACCCTGTGGCCGCTGATACTTCTTGTCCAGCTTGAATTCCCTGTGCTCCCTGGTGCCCGGACGGGCCAAGAGTTTGGCGGCAGTGCCCCGACCCAGCAGCTCATCCAGCTTGGAGCGGGCAGGGAGGGGCCCTTCCCTGCAGGATGGGACATAGGGCAGGTACATGGGAACACAAGGGGCTCCTGGGGGGCCCACACTGTACCCTCCCTCTCGCTTTTCCCTGGCCAGGGAGGGACTCTCCGCTCACAGGGACCCTTACTGGTCTCCTGTGTGCCTTGTTTCTGCTTTGGGGCTGTCTCCAAACCCCAGGGTGGCCATGATGTCGTCCCCATCGTCAAAGAGCAACTCTTCTTTCTTTCGGACCGGAGTGTTCCCAGGAGTTAGAGGGATAGAGGGCGCTAAGGGACAGAACACAGGGCACAATGCCCACAGCCTTCGGGCCACAGTGGTGATGTTCGAATGGGTCAAGGGGGGCGTTTCCCTGCAACCCTGGTCTTTGGGTGGAAGAGC